CCACTCCTTCCGGCAGGAAAAGTTACTGTAGGCACGGGACAACTGCAAATCTGCAAGCTCTTCTCTACTTGGGCTGGGGGCGGGGAAGGAAAGCATCAGCTTTAACTTTCATAAACTGGCACTAGAGTCTGGCATTTGATGCTGCAGGATGCATTTCCAGCACGGAAGAAGGCAGCATGCTCCCTGCAGAGTTTGTTCTGTCCTTACGTGTTTGGCCCCTGTCCCGGCATGTTTTCATGAGTGAAGTTTGTGCAAGCTGTGATGGGAGACTCCCACCTGTTCTGCACTTCCAGAACATGAGAAAAGATGATGTCTAAACTCTACACGTTTCTATAGGAAGTTACAGGTGCTCCTCCCAGGCTGCCCAACACATTCCCTCATTCAACTGAGCAAAGAACAGGCAGAAAATTGGCACAGGGTTTGTTGTTACACATTCGAACAATGCCCTGATCCCCCAGCACCAAATGAAGACTCCAAGCAAACACCGAGCACATTCATCAGATGCTCTAATACAAGCGCTATCTGGACAGTGCTGTTCTGAAGGCAAGGGGAAAAAAAACAAACTCAAACCATAAGAACATTTAAGTTAGCAGTTTGTTGTACTCTAAGACCTTAAAACAGCCACAAGCTGCCAATAAAAGAAATAATTTCCTATTATCTACACTGACAAGAGCCTTGTACAATAGACCTTCTTACACTCCACCAGGGTTCAACGAAAAATTGAGTCCTTAACGTATAAAAATTATACTTTGTGGCTGTAGAAGGGTATAAACTACAACAGCTTACGACACCGCTCTTGAATTGTATGCCTTCCTTTAAATCCTTCCTACACTTTACGTAATAATCCTTTCCTTAATACCTGTACTAGAGTAAAGCTATGGGAAAGCAGGCAACCCAGCTGTATTTTCTTTCAGAGGATACCAGATGGTGGTGGTTTTGCCGGGTCTAAGTCACCAGACACTAGCCTCGTAATTACTACATGAAGAAATCTCTTCTTAGATACTCAAAAGTGCACCCAAGCTTGTTTCTCTTAGATGTCACCCAATGCTTGTCTTCTGCGTCTATCTTCATCCCTTAATAGAAGGGCCATCGAAAAGGAACATTAATATTAGGAGGCATTTGAAGTAACAGCACAGAAAAGTAGAATGTAAACAATATCAGAAGCCTGCAAAAAAGTTTAACTTACTGCTCTCCAATGCCTGTCACAAAGACAGAAATTCATTGACAGGTACTCAATTCTAAAAATCCCCATGTTTCCATTAACCTGTGAGATAACCAGAAATTAATATGGAAATTAGATAATTTTTAAATTTTCTTCTAAAAAGGTAGTAACTATACTGCACTTGCTACCTGCACGTTCAGTCTAAGATGAAGTTCTAGCAAACTGGGAAGCCTGTCTCACTTCAATGCAAGGTCCTCTCTATTAACAGCGTAGATATATTGTTTATAGAGTCACCCAGAGAACATCATCTTCACCAACATGACTTCAGAGTGTCACTCCAGATGCTTCATCTGTAACACGTGAATAAAAGTGTAGATCTCACTTCTTGACATGTATGTCAATGGTTCGGTGCAATGTATTTGGGGGATTGGAGGGCTGTCTCTCTTATCAGCATTGCTCTGGGGACATATGCAACCCCACCAGTAGCACTCCACAGATAGTCATGGAGTACTTGCAAAGAATCATTCTCATAAAATTTGATTCTATTCCAGCAAAGCACTTTCCACTGTCTGAGGTGGATCTCTTCACACCTAGACAGGCGAGGATCTTTAACAGCAACAGAAAGCCACCCTTAAACCGCTGTACTTTACAATGCCCCTTGTTACTATGGAGAACGAAGAGCAGAACTGCAAGACTTCATCCCATGAATTAGAATTAAAGCTTCTACTTCAGGTTATTTACTGGGAGTAAGGGCAAAGAAGGTAAAAAGGACTTCCTGAGCAGCCACCCAAATTTGCTTGTTTCCATTTCCCCAAGCTATACTCTGTCCCAGCAGCTTCTTGACTGCTGGAAAGATATTTAAAAGCACACAGCTTAAAGAAATTAGTCTGGTTTTAGAAAAAACCACTCTAAACACAGCCAATCTGAGCAGCACCACATACAAAACTTGCTACGAGGTTGCTGTGTCAACCAGCTTTGTTGACGAATGTCATGCTGCCAGGGCAGCAGGGAAACCACCACACCAAGTGCATAAATGCTCTCCTTTAAAATGAAACGCTTTTCTGCGATCACCCAGGAACAGAAGTGCTCAGAAAAAACACCTTCCTGAGGGCTACAGGTCACAGCATTTAGGAAATGCTTAGAGAGTTCCTGTGCTTTATTAATGGAATGGGATGTATTCAAAGTCTCTCGTCTAATCAATTAGCAGCAGCAAAATGCCAGACCGTATTACAGTGCCAAGCAGCAATTTCACAAAAGCCTGCTAGCACTGATGATTTCTGACAAAACAAACCCAAGTCAGAGTGGAAATATAAACATACTTTTAAAATCTCAAGGCTTTAACCATTTTCCCTGAGATCTGATGCTAAGTACTGTTCAGTTATGGGAAGGCATCATACTTACTAAAGTCTCAGATGATGGAAAGAAACATCATCCTGCTCCAGCCATGGCCCCTTGTCAAACTTCAGGTACTCAATGTCTTCGATTACCTGGAATCAGAAGATACAAATCACACTAAGAGGTGGTCTGATCAGAACACCAAAAAATCAATGAATACACCTCCAGAATCAATGAAATAATAAAAATCAAGTCACACACAGTAAAAAGGCTCCGCTGCTGAGCTTGTATTAACAATCCAAGTGTTCAGAGCTAACGTATCACCTCCCAGTCTTACTTCTGAAGGTCGTGGCACTGCCATGAGCACTGGGCAGACACACAGGGGTCATCTATAAAGTTCTGGTGCTTTCAGCTTCGGTGCCATCATCAGAGGCTGGCAGGCAGTAAATGAGGCAAAAGGTGCCTTATTTCTAAATTCCTACCTGATCCAATACACTCTTCCTCAACCTTCCAGTGGGGCTGAAAGGAAGCAAAGGCAGCACAACTACACCACTAAGGTACAATGAGGAGGAAACAGAAGTTAAGTTGAAATTTAACCTCCTTTTGTGGCAAACAAAAACTATCATGCGACATAGGAAACCTGGTTTGGGTTGTTGGTATTTTTTTTCCCCTTCAAAAAGGCTCAGTGGCATTCTAACTGAGACAGGTTGAGGAGCAATTGTGGCAATTGCCTCTTGATGTTGCTATGTTTGGGTCACATCACAAACCCAGGAGTGTGTCAGGCTGGAAAACTCAAACACACTTGAAGTAGCTGTACTGACAGAAGTCCAAAGGCTCAGAACTTCACGGGTCACCAGGACCTACCCATGCACGCATGCACCCCGAGCAGAAAGGAAAGGTGAAACTCAGCTCAGCACCTGGAACCATTCAAACAAGTAACACCAGCGCATCAAATCAGCATCCCTAAACTTATCAATCCCGATATCTGAGCTTCACTTTCAGCCTGGCTCCACCAGAAAACAGATCTTTGCTGGTCCAATGGGTAATTGCTTAACACGAGCCTGAGGTTATCATGCACGATTAACCAGATGTGAAGGAAACCTGCACTGGTGTCAGATGGATACACGCCAGGGTGGAGACAGTACTTGGAAGCAACTTGGGAAGAAGTGGATTGTTACAGCTCCAAACATCACTTTTCAGAGGTCTTTTCCAGAAGGAAAGGATAAAGCTATGAGGTCAGGACCAAAATCTTGATGACACATGTCTGTCCATTGACAACAAGTAAGCAGATGCCAGTAACAAAGTGAGTGATAAAATAATAAATGAAAAATGCTTGGGTTTTTTACAGTACATTAAATTCATTCTAATTATTCCCTGCAATCACAGCAAACACCAAGTCCCATCTATTACCACTTAAAAGGCAATAGCAAAGTGCTATTACAAAGCAGTTTCATCTATAAAGGTCCACTCTAACGGTATTATGGTTTTATGGTAGTGGCTTAGAGACACGACTGTGTGATCACTTTCCTTGCGGCATTTCTATTTCTTAAAGATTAATTTTGCTGATAAAGAATGAAAAAAAAATACGGCTGACATGACACCAAAGCATATTTAAAACTTTAAGCAAGTTTAGATGCTCTTTAACTGTTTTTTTGTGTCTTAGAGGCAAAGTTGGCAAGCCAGATACCGCAGCTGAAGGCACAGGAAACCTACATTTCACATAAAGAAAAAAGCTGATGACAAATTTACCTATTTCAGTCCTCAAAAAACACTACAGAAAACAGCACCACAGACACTCAGAACTTTACAGAATTGCCTACCAAACTGCTGTAACGTAACTCCTGAACATAAGCCTTCAATGATGTTAACAGGAAGAAAGTTGTATGCTAAGTTAGTTCAAATATCCATTATTTTCATTATTTGAAAGCTGAACCTCCACTGTACTTCCCATTAGCTACGCAAAATTACTTTTCTACTCCCCAGAAAAGCTTTGGAAACTCACCACTACAGCTGATGACAGGACTAATAATAGAGTTGCTAACAATAGGGCTCAGAGCATGGTGCGGGGAAAAAAAGAAATCTGTATCCAAATTAGTTTTGCACACTCTTATTAGCGTATCAGAAGGTATCTCCCCCAGCAGCTCAGTAACAATGGTGTCAGCCCTACTGAGCAGGCCAGAAGAACAGCTCCTTAATTTATAAGGGATGCCCTGGCAGCCTCTGGGAGTTAGCAGCAAATGAATGATTTAAACCTGCTTGCAGTCCAACATGTAATAATGTCCAGGAGAGAGCTGGTGTTGATATAGTGCAGAGCCTGGCAGGATTTGGAAAAAAACAGTTTCAGTAATGAGACCTTTCCATAATCTTCACAACTAGGCCAATCTGAACTGCTTCCCATGTTAAAGCTCGTTTCACACTGACCCGGCGAGCACTGTTGCTGAAGGGACTGCGGGAGCAGGAGGGAGCAGAAGGTAACACTGTTCTCATTCATATAATTTATGGGGCCAAAAACCCCAAACCCAGCTGCTTTGCCAGCTGACTTCTCCCTAATCTCCCTCCTCACAGCTTGTTTCTTTAAGCAAGAGATGGACACAAGGAGCAACACAGGCTACAACCCCACAGCATCCAGCCCACAGGTTGCAGGAAGGAGGTCAGCCCACACATGGCACCTACACCCGAAAAATTCCCTCCGGAGCGTTTCGCTGCTGCACCGGCAAAGGGCATGGCCAAGCTGGTCCTGTCAGCAGCCTCCCACCTTCATCAGCTTAGGCAGGCTGGTGACACTGAATAAAAGTGGTCCATAAATACAAAACAACATCTACAAGCACAGAGGAACTGAAACAATTTTTATTTCCGTTCTGCACACGCCCCCCCTTTTTTTTTTTAAAGCCCTGATGTTAAAAAAATTAACAACTGTAGATAACTTTTTATTCCCAGTTTTATCCTCATGTCAAAGCAGTTTGAAGCTCACTTCAGCACTTCCCTCCTTCAGCCACTACAACCAGTGTTAATTACAACATGAAACCCAGACTAATCTTTTTTAGAAAAATACCACAACTTAGAAATTACTTCTGCTTTTGAAGTTGTGCATGTCTGCCATGAGTAAATCAAAAATCAGACAAACAAGGTCATAAAAATTAAGCTCCCAAATCACATCACAAATAATCTGTAGATGGAAGCTGGCTAACAGGTAAACATCGCTACCTATCCACAGGATATACCTGCATAAACAAGCACCCTACAAGCCAAAATAAACCCCTCCTGCCAACACTTCTTTCCAAATTCAACTGTTTCATTCCAAAGGTAAACTGAATCTGAACAGAAGGGAGAAAAAAAAACCACTTTATTCTCTGAAGGGGAAAGAGCACCCGTCTCTGTAGCGAACATCTCACAATGAAAACGTGGTACCATCTCGCACTTGGACTTCAGAACAGTAATCCTTCCTCCAGTCCAGACTCGCCCAGCCTAATTAAGAACTACATCAGTGCATACTGACAACACAAGGCTGCCGAGCCTGGCAGGCTCTGCCCTTCAGCAGTAACAGCTTTAGACTGACTTCAAACCCTGATTTACAGGATTAAAATCAAATTTCTAGCAATGGGTTTTTATTACCAAGATAATGCAGGGAGGAAACAAACTGCTTTATTTTGACCACGTGGGCTCTTGCACAGAAAGTTAACCTGATCCCAGTCAAACCCAGTCCATGAGCCAGCGAGCACAGCAGTAGTGGGCTGCCTCCTGCAACACTTAGAAATATTAAAATATGCTTTTCTTAGAGTTGTTGCCTTTTTTTTTTTTTAACTTTACTGCTAGCCGAGGTTAAACCTCAGAGTCTTAGCCAGGCTTTCCCGTGTCACAATGGAAGTGCCCTCATGAAGCTACATGCAAACCTCTGCAGCGAGGGGCCTGCCACATGTCACATGTAGTGCAGGGTTGGGGACAGATGCTCATACACTGAAGCAAGTGTTTTCCTTTTCCATCCGATTTGGAAAAGCCCGTTAAGCTCTCTCTCCCTAACTTCTCCCCTTCGCCAAACTAGTAAGCTTTCCACCTCAAAGTGATCACCCTGCCACTCCCCAGCTGATTTAGGAATTAATCACATACTGTGCTGTAAAGGCCCAGACCCATTTCCTAAATCAAAAAGCAATAGAACCACCCTGGTATTTCTTTTCCGCTCTAACAGAGGGCAGCATTAAGAGGACTCTAGAAAAATTATCGGATCTTTCAAACAAGAAACACAGAGGATGAAAATTTTAAAATCAGCAAGACATATCTGAAAAGATACTTTTAGTGCAGCTGAGATCCTTACTGCAACTACAGAAGTCAAGGGAGCTTTGAGGGATTTGTGTAGCTTTCATCCCTAGAACTGAAGCAGTCCCACTACAAACCTATCCGAAAACATAAAAAGCTTGTTGCTCTTCCCAGCAGGGGGCAGCAGCTACAGCAAAAGTTAACAACGAGGAAGAAAAGGACTTGTTACCCCACTAGTACCTGCAAACGGCTATTACACCTACTCCAAAAAACACCACAGTGGAGAAGGAGGAAGCAGTCATCTCATCTTAATCCTGTCACATAAGAGATGGCTTATTTCGAGCCATGAGATGGCATTTTATCTGGCTTGGTCCAGGGCTAATGTCAAATGGCAACACCATTTGGAGAAGGAAAATTGAAGTTTAGATACCACATGCTAGCTCATACAGATTAATAACCCAGGGTTACAAAGCTTCTGACAGCTCTGGTTAAGCAGCTGTTTGCTATAACCAAATAATGGCTAGCTTTCAGAAAACAACAGCCATTTTACACCTGTGCACCAACCTGGATCACAAGAAGCTACACAACAGCAAAAGCCAACAGAGATATACCTTACACTGGTAGACAGAGTCTCAGCCGAGTGCTGAGATTTACCAATGCCATTAGTTCCCAAACTGAGCTATGCAGAGCCTTGCCCATCTCACCAGCCAAAAAGGGATGTTGACAGCAGCCAAACACAGCCCGGCAGGGACTCAGGGAATGCTGTTTCCATCTCCCTCAAGGGATTTGCTTGGAAAAACAAACCAAACCTGGAAACACCTGGCAGAAGTTACATCAGACAAAAGACACTAAGTTATTAGTGATAATCATGTGGGTTTGCTTGCAGACAGCCTGGTATCTTGGTAAAAGGGATGGGGGTGAGAGTTTATACTTTGACAAAATGACACTCATCTAAATATTCTAGTGCAGAGCCAGCCCAGATCCCTGCCATAGCAACACAAAATGCATTCAATAGTTTAATAAGTTTATTATCTAGGACAACATGTTCTCTTTACACTTCAGTCTTGGAAGTTTAGACAAAAAGTCAATATACACAACACACCCTTACCTTGTCCACATCTTCTGCCTCAGTTCCCACATAATGCAGAACTTCACTGGTCTCGCTGCAAAGAGGAAAGAAAACTGTAGTCCTCTAACAGAACTGCTCAACCCATCCTCTTACCCCCTCCTCCAAAACAAAGCCCACAGTTAAAAGGTACACAGAACCAGAATATTACAGTTTTTCAGAACGCTTAGAATTCTTGCGATAGAATTCCCATTAGACCTGGAAGTTGCTTCTTTCCTGGTGGAAAATGGTTTTGCAAGGGCAGATGGCCTGTGCTATCTACAAAGTTTCAGTTAAAAAAGAAACCTGACTTGCCATTTCTCTACTGTGGATATTTGCCCCAATTACAACTGCCCAATCTATTTGAAGCCAAGTGAAATTTTCAACCAGTCTAACCCAAAACTTCACAGACCTTCCTTTTTACAAGTCCATTAATACCCACGGGTAATGCTTAAGAGAAGAACACATTCATCCATCATTATGTACTAAGGCTGACCTAACTGAACCAGTACAATGCAGGCAGTGGGATCTGTAAGTATAAACCCATTCAAAACTGGCAATAGCTTCCTGGTCACAAGATTGCTTTCACAGAAAAGCCGCTTACAGAGCAGGGCCATGACAGCCACTCCTCCATGAACCCATTTCACTACTACATACGCACAGCCACCCCCAGTAACAGTCGCTCCTAAACATGCTCCAGCTGCCCTGGAAGGCCTTTCCTTTAGCCACCAAAAAGCTGAGAAAATTAAACAGATGCCCAATGCACACAGTATGTCAGACAGATAGCAAAGCTGGAGAGCTCGGAGAACACCAGGCAGACTTTTTGCTTAGTAGAAGCACTCCCAGGTTAAACCAGGATTAAGGCTGGCAATCTAAGTTGCTATAAGCGTTCACACTATCAACTTACAACTGCAGCAGTCCAAACTAGTTCCTGGCCTGCATTAACACTAGCTCTGGTAAAAAAGTTCATTTATAAAATACCTTTTATTCCTACTAACTCCTAAACTCTTGCAATCAGCCATCCCACTGCTGCTCCTAGTAGGGGGGCTACTTGAAGAGTTTGTTCTCAACTTGAGAACAAAGCAAACCTCCCAGGACTCTTCAGTCACAAAAGAAACTAAACGGCCTCCTTTTAAAAGGGAGCTTCTGTGACAGTTAGCACGGCACTCACATCTTCAGCATCAACTGTCAGCAACCAAAGGAAGAGGCCAGACTGCACCAGCGTCTTATACTGGCAATTGCATTAACAATGCAGAGCAAATCGCTTGATACTCCGCAGATTATTAGGACTTTCAATAAGAGAAAACAGCTGCTCAGTGGAAGCAGTAATAGATATGAAAGCGAACATTAGCAATCTCAGGGCTTTGGTCTAGGAAAAGAAGAATCAAACAAAACCCAAAAGCTGTCTGTTCAAAAATCACAAGGTAGTGCTTGCCACAGCACCGGGCTCACAAATTAAAAGGAATATTAAAAGACATTCATAAACACATCAGTCTAGAAAGGAAGCACCCGTTTTCAGAAAGCCAAATACTCACTATAAAACACACCAGTTCAAGCAGCATGAAGTTGCTCCAATGAAATGGAACAAGGTAACATGAATTTTGCTAAGTAACAAACTAGACTGTTATCCTACTCCATTTCAAGAAAAGCAAGAGAATGAGCAAACAAGCTTGGACATGTAGGCAGAAGTTTGTTCAACAGTCTATAACAACTCTTTTTAGTCTGTTTGAACCAGATTTTGGTCATCCTCAAGAGTTATGGAACCAAATGCTTCTTAGTCTGCCTAGAGACTAACAGCCAGGCACAAATATAGCTCACTGCATCGCTCTGCAAGCCAGCAAACAAACAGCTGAAGCTTCTGTGTATTTATCCAGTACACAAGCCACCAGTGAGGTCTAGAGATGTGCAAAACTGGTTTCACACATTCACAACTCCCCCACATCAAGGGGACAGAGCCATCCTTCTTCAGACTCGAGCACAAAGATCGATGTGACAAGCTCTTGTAAGCCCATCCTCCGATGAGGATGCCAACCAGGGGGTGTTTGCTCACCAAGCGTACTGACCACGTGCAGACAAAGGGGAACGAGTTGAAATCACAGCAGGACCAAGCCTAGGATTCAGCCTCACTAAACACCGCGGTACATTACCGGGCCTCCATTTGATCCAAAGAAGCAGCAGCATTTTTCTTCTCACCAGTAAATTCTAAACAGTTCTGCCCTCAGGGGGATGACAGTCCCAAGGCTTCCCACCCTCCCTTCTCCATCATTCCCATCTGAGCGCTGTGTGCTGGCCGCTAAGCTGTGGGGAACACACTGGGAGTCAGCTGACCATACATCACACCAACGACTTCTGCCCTGTATGAACGACAAGCTCAATACAAATTTCTTCGGTTCAGTTGCTGACAGTGCCATGACGCTGATTCACCCTGGGCAATGGAGCAAGAAAGCAAGGGGAAACAAGCTACAATACACCCGAAGATCTACTCGACTTAAACATAACTCAGCTTCGTGCTCACACCAAACCCTGCATGATTACAGATCATTTCCATGTAGAGTAGGCCTGGCTCAGTGAACTGCAAGAGTTTCCCTTCCAGAAAGCCATTTATGAGAAACCAAAGACTGCCTGTATTCACGTCTTTTGATTTTTAGGATGGTTTTGTTTTTGAGAGCGCTCTTTTATAAAGACTGAGATAGCTAGCAAACTAAGTCTCAAGTTCACAATGCACACATTTTGCTTCCCAGCTAAAGAAAGCCAGGTGAGCCCAGAGAACAGCACCTTTAGTTTCTCAGAGCAGGTAGCAGTTTAGTCTTTATTTACCAGCACCAACAAGTCCACCAAATCCTTTATAAATGTGGCAGGCATTTCGCTCCTGAGATGAGGAAACAATACTAGAAAAGGGAACAGTCCGTTACCTGAAAGCCTCTCTTCTTCCATAACACTATAAAGAAACTAGCCAAAGCTATGACAACTGAACGGAGTTCCTAAGAAGAAAAAAATTCCAAACTCTCCCAAAAGGCCTGAGAAAAGCTTATCTTGCACCACACTCCTCAGGTCACAGAAACACACAGCTATAGCTATGGAAGTTTGGACATCACGCCAAGGAAGCACCCCAACCCCTGCTGCGGTCTAACAGAAAGAGAAGCAAAGGATGTTGACACCAACCACATATAAAATACTGTCAGGAAGGGAGACAAAGATTGTTTTTGCAGAGCGAACAGAACAGATTTTTGGCTTTGCTCCTGAAGTGCTGAACTATGAAAGAGTTTATGCTTTCTTGTATCTGATTCCATGACTGTCACACTGCAATGCCCCATGACAGCAAGATGATAAAACATACTGCAGATCAGAGCTCATTAGCTTTGCAATATATCAGGTAGGTCAATTAATCAAATCCAATGAATTTACTAGTGTGCCACACTTCACCCACTCTGAATCTGTTAAGAGTGAAAAACACCCACTGCTTTATAAAGCTCACACTTTAAAAGACTTCATTTTTAATCTTCCAATATTCTAATGCCAGCATCAGGCTTCTGGGATGCCAGAGGTTAACTACACGCAAGTATGCATTGTTGTCCTGCCACAGCTGCAATACCCCACCATTAGGACATAGTTATTTACCACACAGCACAAGGAGGATTTCTCAGATGGCATGATTTTATTTGCTTATATTGGTAGAGATTTTAGGATTTGCATATGTTTTTTACTCAAAGACTTAAAAGAGAAATCATTTTGGTTTGCTAACCTGATCTCTGGTAAGAAGGTTTTCTTATAAGCATCCTCAATGTTCTGGAGATACGAAGGAGACACCTTTTTCTCATAGGGCTAAAAACAAACAGAAAACAAAGTTGTGAAATTGAGCTTTCTTTTCATACCAGCACAAATTCCAAGCTAAGCAGAAGGCGCTGCAACGCCATCTGCCAAGAGCTCACTCCTGTATTAGCAGTCAAACATCCAAGTGAAGCACATACACGTTAATGAAAGTTTCAAGAATTAAGACATTGGGAGTGTTTAGAATTTCTTACATGGTATTAACTATCTAGGGTACCCCAAGGAGTAAGTCAGTCTGCATTAACCACTGCTCTGCCCTGTACTAGCCTGTCTGTGGTTTTAATGACTAGCCATATAATTAAGATTCTCCTGATCTGCTAGTGAATCTAGAAAGAAAGGGAAAGGCAGATTCAGCAGAAGAATGTAAAAGTGAAAAAACTTCCTTACAACTTCTTTGTTTGTTAGAATTGTTTCATTTTCCCCGAGTCTCCATAAACCAAAAGAACAACCAACAACAATCAACAACCTCAAAAGATCACCTTGCTGAGGACCAATCAATCCTGGTGACCTGCCCATTCAAGGAAGCGATATATAACCATACAGAAAACAGAGGAAGACTGTCCAAGTCTGCCTTTCCAACAAGAGGGCCAACACACATCCGTTTCCACAGCTTCAGACAAGTCCATGGGCAACCATCCACTCCAACCACTGACTCCAAAAATCTTGCTTGGAAACTTCCCAGCTATCATGCCTGCTATTAAGCAGTTCATCTTCCACACAAAGAATTTAAATGCTCTATTTGCAAAATGCCAGGGATTCCTCTGATCTACCACACATTCTTCGAGTTCAACGCTAACATTAAATAACATTTCCTGCTTGAAACGTCCATCCAAGATGCCCATTATAGCGGAAGGATCTGTGTCCATGCTTCTTGGGCTCACTGGAGGCCTGTTCTTTTTCCAGTGTCCCACAACAGCAGCACACTGAATACCAAACACTCCAGTCATTGAGAAGGCAGAATTCCCCCAAAACACCATCCCCAAACAAGAGCTAGCGTTCAGCAGTGCCACTGTTCCAAGGAAGTTACACCAGCAATTCCTGCCAGTGGGTCTCAAAGTTGCCACCGACCTTTATGCTGACAAGGGCAACAGGTTCCCACGATACATTACGCTTCTAATTCTGTCACTGAAGTCACTAAAAACAAAAAAGCTATGTTTTTCCTATACAAAAGTATCTCATTCATTACAGCGCAGAGGCACGTTCAGTCATGGCCTAAACTGCCGGAGGGCAGAAGGGCAGTCACTGGACCAGCAGACTAAGCAGCTCAGGCCACACAGATCACGGAGCAGCAAGGGCAGCCTTCCATTCATGGCTTTGAAGTCGCTTCCCTCCGGCAATCAGCCGTCTCCCTCTTAAGTGAGCAGGAAGCCGCAAACCGAAATGCTACTAGCTCACCCTCATGCGCTAACATAGGTGCATGTGCTTCGAGAGAAGCAGGCATCGCCAAGCATCTAACAGACCTGAGAATTTCAGTAATAAATCAAAGTGTTCTTTGAATCTACCAGGCCTTCTGCAGTTAAATAGCTTTCTGCAATTAAATACTTCACTACAATTTCCCTTCGCCTTTAAACAAGGTATAAGATAAACATCATTTAATCCTCATGACACATCTGAGAAGAGTCACAAGCACATGTCCAAATACCACAGAACGGGGAAAAAGACGCACCAAAAATGTTATTTAAATCAGTCATTATACAAAAGAATCCTAGAACTTTTCTGATCCAAGACTATTTCAGTAACCCAGTAATCCAACATGCTGATGTAACAAAAGGTAATTTAAAAGAATGCTACAGAAGTAAATTTTACCAGCAGTCTCCATCCAAGACATCTCAGAGGGAAACTGCCACCCTCAAAGGGGTTTGAGTGCAAGTGAGAATCTCCTACAACTGTCACAGATCCACCACAGGTAAGAGGCACGTGTCACGAGCTCAGACTAGACTGAAGTAGGACTGGTGACATGAAGCAGCTGTATTTCTTATCTACTTTATATGTGGTGCGCCGGAAAGCACCCTGGATTTTGGAATAGCTACACAGAATCAGTTTTCAGTTTAAAATTGGTGGGTTTGCTGTGTTGACTTAAAAGCATCAAGCAGTAATTTTCTTGGTTTCAGTTTGAATTTGCTGATCAAAAGTGATTGCTAACATCAGAGCTCTGAGTCAACTAGGGAAGGTGGAGATGGCAAGAGCTAGCTGGGGCTTCTGCCACTCAGGAGCAGAGATAATCCCAGAGCATGCTGCAAGAAGCCTATCACCTGGACACAACTCCTGAAGCAGCACTTACAAAGGCTGTTTTTTAAGGGCAGGTGATTTTTACAGTTTCTCATTACAGAAATGACAGTATATCGATGCAGTCAAAAAGGTTGATGTTTGCTGTATTTTTTGTAAAAGCAAGCATACCAGAATATGCACAGAGTCATCACCAACACACAGTTCTTATGCCTGAGAGGATGAGAAGCTTTTCAGAAGCAGAATTCTGCAGCAAACTCCCCAGAACCTGCGCATAAGGACACTATTGAAACAAGCACTAACATGCAGTAATAGAGGCAAGAAATAAAATTACCTCGCCCTTCTCCTGAATCCTCTTCTGCACCTCTGGGACAGGTACGTCTACATAAATGACCAAGTGAGGCGGCAGGAATTCACAAATGCTGATCTCTTTGATCTCTTTGTAGTGATCAAGACCTGTATAAAACCAAAACCAAGCACAACGGAGAGCTAAAGGTAACCCAGCTGAAGACACACACGCGTTCCAAGTGAGGACACATGCAATAGGAACAGCATCAGAATTAAAACCTGTCAGTTAATGAACCTACAACCATCTCCAGTGTTTTTTCCTGCATTTGCTAAACACATTCTATTTGCAAATAAATCACATCCCCAATTTTGTATTTGTAGTCTCCTCTTCTTGGCTGATATAGCAAGTTCAGGGTAGGATTTCCCTCAAATAGGATTCAGGACATTTTTAGAATAAACTCTTCCAGAAACAAAGCAAAACACAATTAAACTAAGAAGATACAAGCACTGAGGTACAACAAGCTAACATATGAGTTACATCAAAGGTGGTCAGCTGAGGTAACCACTGGCCAGGGCTGCCTTCTGCCACAGACTCATACACAAAATGAATGGCCCCACCGACAGCATGGCAAAGGTGGCAATGTCAAGAAGACTTTGCAAAAAGTCTATTTCCCACCATCAGGAAGGCATTTGCCCTGTCCTCCAATCCATACACAACGTCATGCCAGGGTGAAGCATGTATTTTAAGAGGTTGCCATCCCAGCAGTGTCCCTCCTCACCATACTGGAGACATGCTCTGCACCACTGTTACTCAACAGCTCTGTGCTCAACGCAAGCAACAGCACACCTCCTCCTCAAAAACACAAGACCCCACTTCGGAAGACAGGGCTGGAGGACCTCACCTTCCCACACAAAGAAATACAGCTGGTAAGAGCTGATCAGCTCTGTGCAATTGGGTGGTTCTGCCACATCAATCACCTAAAGCATTTCTGAGCTGGCAATTAGGAAGCTTCACAGGTTCAGGGGAAGCATCTATTCAACATTTAATGCCAGGAATAGCACAGGCTCCATTTAAACCAGCTCAAGAGCAAGCTTTCCTCAGTAAGACTCACCAGCTTAGCCAGAAATCCAGCGTCAGGCTTTCAAATTCAAACCACTTGAGAAAATACGAAATCCTACCGTGCCTGGCAGCACAGTAAGCAGCCCCTCTAATCAAGACATTTGCTGTTTTAAGGATTTCAATACGATCCCTTATTTGTAGTTGGAAGTTTGTATTAAATATAAACTGTGGGTTGCTGGGCTTTGTTTGCCTCACCAACGCAGAGCAGTAAGACAGTTCGTTATAACCAGCTCTCAAAATCATTCAGCAAGAAGTGGCAATTTACAGTGGGTGTTAAAAAACAAATACACACCTCCTAAGTCTAACCCAAATCAAACAAGACAGCAGAAACAAGGCAGCCAGGGAAACAATTACCTTCATCTCAGGAGTAGCCAAAATGACAGATTTGCTACAAGTGGCAGAAACAAGAATTTCGATAGCAATTTACTAAGGGGGCAGCTGATGACTGGGCTTTACAGCTGTTTTCTCCAGGCTTTCAAACATTTCTGCAGCTCTAAATTTGCATATTTTGGCTGTAGCTGGTCTCCTACACACGTCACAACTGCTCCATTCCTAGCCAAGGGATGGAGTCTCCACGAGCCTGCCCACAAGGCACCAACACAGTAACAATGCTCAGGAGCTCAGTGCCCATGACCCTGAACCACAGAATTGTTGAACATCTACAGTTCAGCTGGTTCAAGCACGCTGCTCAGAGTGGGGTCAGCTAGGACAGCGTCCCACAGTGTTCTCACCGTCTCCAGGACAGAGATCCCACAGCCTCCCCAGGCAATCTGCTCCAGGGTTTCACTACCTTCACAGTAGAAAAGGGTTTTTTCTTATAAATTGAACTTTTTATTTCAATTTGTGCCCTTTGCCTTTTGTCCTCTCACTGGGCGCCACTGAAAAAAGGCTGGTAGCATCCAATACTCCTCCCCATCAAGTATTTGTACACATAAATACCATCAGGTTATTTATACACATCGCCTGAGGCTCCTCTTCTCCAGGCCAAAAAAAAACACCCCACCCATCTCTCAGCCTCTCCTCACACACTGGATGCTCTAGCTTTCAGTGACCTTTGCAGCCCCTTCTTAGACTCACTCCAGCAAGTTCACATCTCTCTTCAGCTGACAGCCCAGAACTGGGCATAGTACACCAGATTTGGTGACCACCTCCCTTCACCTGTTGAAAACACTCTACTTCATGCAGCACTTGGGGTGCTGGTGGCATCATTTGCTGCAAAGGCACACTGCTGGTTCACATCCCACCTGGTGCCCATCAGCACCCCCAGCTCCTCCTCTGCAAACCTACTTTTGAGGCAGTTGGCTCCCAGCATACAGAAATGCCTGCAGTTATTCCTTCCCAGGTGCAGGACTTGGCATTCCCTTCAGTGGCACTTCATGAGATTACCATCCAACCTCTCCTCCAGCTGGTCCAGATTCCTCTGAATAGCACCAAAACCCTGTGGTGTGTCAACCACTCCCCTCCCAATTTCGCATCACCTGCAGATCTGCTGAGGCACTGAAAGCCTTGCTTAAGAGAAACAATATCCATTGCTCTCCACTGAGATAGCTTTCTTTGAGGAGCTGACTATCAGGTGCTTAAGCGTGATTTCCTTTACATAAAACTACGACAACTATTACGAATCACCTTCACATCTTCATATGTTTGGAAATGGCTCCCAGGAGGATTTACTCCGTCACCTTCCCACAGCTCAAGCGAACGTTGACTGGCCTGTAGCTTCCTGGACCTTCCTTCTTGAGTACAAGAGCAAGATTCAAAAGGGATCTGGCCATTTAAGGCAAATAGGCCGAACCCTGCTGACCCATTATGTACTTCCCACCTAATGCTGCAAGATCAAGGCCTGCCTGAAGAACCTTCAGCATGCTCACTCACATTTCCAGGAATTACAGGAGTCTCTGGCTGACAGGGCATAGGCAATAAACACAGTATATGTTCTTTAACATATAGGCAGAACCAAAGTCTTGAAGAAAGACTGGGAAGTCTCATGGACTGAGGTTGGTTCTTAATGCACAGAACAGCAAGATGCCAAGCGCTCTAGGAACAACTCTGAACAATCACAGGAGTCCACCTTCCAAGCAGGCTTTCTGTGTTTCCTTTTTAAAAGGTAAACCACCACACTTCTGACAGATTATGGCAAAACAACTTCCTTTTGCGTGCAAGTAACTTACATCGTTTGTGGATATAGCCTTCTTTAAACATTGCATCCAGAAACACAAAGTCGCTGTAGGGAGAGCGCTCCATCACCACGCCTTGGCCTGCAATTGAAAGCAAGTTCCAGTCAACAAGGCTCAAAGAGACTGCTGGCACTTAAAATTAAAGACAGTACTGCTCTTACAGTCCATTTTCTGAATGCTTTGCTCAGGCATTTACAATAAAACACAAGAGCAAGGTTTTGGCTTGCACAAACGTACCAGATGCGTGCCGGACACGCCTGTCTCACCCATATATTCCCCTGCTGTGCCTATCACCATGGTAGCTAAATGCTAATGTATTTAAGGAGTTCACTTATATTTGTGTCTGAGACTTCCTGGCATTCACATCTTTTCAGCTTTTTTGGAAAACATCTATTAAAGCACAAGCAACCAGTAAATTATCATTTCAAAAGGCAGATGCTAGCAAAGCACTTCAGAACAGCTTACTCACAATTTACACTCATATGTTGATCTAGAAAGGATATCTGTGGGCTGTGAAATCTAACCTGTGCTCAGCAGATGCTCCAGCGCATCAGCATACTGTAACACGCGGTTACCGAACAGCCAAGCCTGCAGTCGATACGAATGTCCATCCGGGCATTTCGGATCATTGTAAAACCTCTCTAGGTTACAGAAGCCGTTAAATTTCTCAGGCAGCAGCGTTCCATCTGCTGTGATTCTGTCTAGGTAATGGATGTCTGCTTCTGGGAAATATTTCATCCCTGGCAAAAAAGAAACCCACAACAGAACACCAATCAAAATAGTAAGTTTGGATCATTTACAGTAAACATCTATTCAGCTCATTTAAATATATAACTCTCCATTAAACAGCTCTTGAAAACAGCACAAAATCCTTTGGTCCATCACATCAGAGGGCAGACAAACCCTAATCTGAAGCATTGCCACCCTTCACCACCCCAGTGAGAGCTGAGCTATCGTCGTAAGCTGAATCTTTTTGCCATCAATCCTCTCATCACCTTGATGCTCTGGGTACCCCCATGCAGAAAATCCTACCTCTCAAAAGTGGAGCTCAGTGAGCAAAGTGACTTCATCAGAACTGAAGCTTCATTCACAACACATCATGCTTACACAAGTATCCTGCAGATATGACAAGTGTCCCGTCCTCATCTCACCCCTCAGCAACATTTTATTCTCCCCTTACCCATAAGCCCTCCACATTAACTGCAGCACTGCTTAACTAGTAATTTGCTAGTCAAGAATTGCTGGCTTGGTGAACTTTCTGAACACAAGAATCACAAACACACTGTTAAAGTCTACTAACTATTACAGAAATAGGGAAAGTAAGATGTACCTAGCTTTTCTGCTATTTGTTGTGCAAGCTTGCCCTTCCCAGAAGATAAGTTTCCCTCCACTGTAAAGACTTTGCTATATTCAGAGAACTTTTTTGTACTTCTGTCTCCCAACATATAAGCCAGCCAACCATACTCCAAATTCTGCTTTGGGCTGATATGAATTCTTGCCTGAAAGAAAACATAACAAAATTAATATATTTTGGTTTCCTCAGCAGAATGCAGCATCCCCAAAAAGCAGCTTGTTCAGACCTCCTGCACACACACGCTACGCAGCCATACAGCTAAACGGAGGGAATTCCCATACAGTAGTTAGCGCTGCCATTTCAGCTCAGCCACTCCAGCAGTATTTAGGCTGAGAAGCTGTTTACAAAATACAAGACTGAGAAGACGGAACCCACTGCACAGTTTCTCAGTGGTGAAAGCTTGAAGCGGGAAGTGCGCTGACAGAACTCCGCTCTGAAACTTCACGGACTTCCTGAAGGACACACGATGCGCCCTCTTTTCCCAAGGGAGATAATAAAACAGGCTTTTGTTTGCATTTTCATCTGTTTGTTGTTGGGTAGACATTAACAAACTTTTTCACAGTCTCTTGGAAGAGTTACAGTTTCTGTTGTGCACAACACAGATCCTGGACTTGAAGGTGGAAAGAAATACCCATTTGGCCCATAGAGCTGAAGACAACATCTTACTGAGCCCTGCTCAGCTAACCCAACACAGAGACTGAAAAATGTAATAAGCTTTATTTTGAGCAAAGTAGTGACCTCTCTTACACCTGAGAGATGTTCTTTTTATTTAATATTCTTCTACTTGCACCGACAAAGAACATATTCACAAGCTGAAGGTCACTGGGTCATCACACTAGTCTCAGGTATTTGCTCGTGCCTCTACCTGAAGTGTCACCTCTTCTCCCAAGCTCCTGCATCCCACTGGAAATGTCTCCTTCTAAGCAGCAGCTCAGCCCCACAACCCCTCTGCGCCAGCGCTCCCCGGAGACACGGCTTCCCCGGGCACAGGAACGCTGCTGGGAGCGAGTGGAGGCCGGTCGGGAGGCCCAGTCCCGCTCCCATAGGGCGGAGAAACGGCGCTACTACCACAGGCCGAGCAAGCCAGCCCCGCGGGGAGGCCGGAG